TGGTTGGTTGGTTGGTTGGTTGGTTGGTTGGTTTGCTGCTGGTGTTGGGCTGTGGGTGGGATGAGGGGATGAGTGGGGCTCACTCCTGGTTCCAGCTCCTCGTCCTTCTGCCCACCCTCAGGAGCCCAAGGCTGCAGAAGGATTTTGTCCATCCAAGAGTTGTTCAAAGCCCTTAGGAGGCTGCATGTTCCCCCAGACAAATCCCCTTGACTCTGTCTCTCTCTTTCCTATTCCAAAATGAATCCTGCAGAATTCCTTTTTTTGAAGGGAAAGACATCTTAAAAAGAGACAGTCATGCTCTACTGTTAGGAGTAATAATATTATGATTATTAAAACTGAAAGATGCTGTAAAAACCAATTTACTTCTTACTTTGCTTTTTCTGCTTGGCTAAATTAAATTGGCGGAGGCAGCTTCCTCACAAAAATATTTTCTGATTGTCACAAACTCTATAAATGTGTTCCCAGGAGAGCAGAGGAATACTTAAATCAGGCAAAGTAACTTTCCATTGGTTTCCTGCTTTGTGTGGGAGCCTCAATAAACCACATCTGAGCCAAAGGAAAAAGATTTTTGGATAAACACTTTGTTTTACCAAATTCTGTGCAAATTACCCCTGCATGGTCCTAAAAATAGCACATTACCAAAATAGAAAATCCCGGATCAAAGGAGTTGTGTCTTTGCACAACCCAAGCACCAGCTGCTGAGAGGTTTTATTTTCCAAACACGTGGATTGTGCTGGGCATAGGGCACAGCTGCAGCCCGGGTTGCTCCTCATCCCTTTTTCCTTCTTTCCCTGCAGGAATCTCTCCTTCTTCTTCATCCCTTTCTCTCTTTTCCCCTGCAGGAATCTGTCCTTCTTCCTCATCCCTTTCTCCCTCCTTTCCCTGCAGGAAACTCTCCTTTTTTCTCTCCTTTCCCTGCAGGAAAATCTCCTTATTCCTCATTCCTTTTCCCATCCATTCCCTGCAGGAATTTCTCCTTATTCTTCACCCATTTTCTCTCCTTTCCCTGTAGGAATCTCTCATTTCCCTGCAGGAATCTCTCCTCCTTCCTCACCCCTTTTTCTCTCTGTTTTCTGCAGGAATCTCTCCTTCTTCCTCATCCCTTTTTCCCTCTGTTCCCTGCAGGAATTTCTCCTTTCCCTGCAAGAATCTCTCCTTATTCCTCACCCCTTTTTCTCTGCAGGAATCTCACTTCCATCCTCGCCCCTTTTCCCCTGCAGGAATCTCTCCTCCTTCTCCATTCCTTTCTCCCTCCTTTCCCTGCAGCAATCTCTCCTTCTTCCTCAACCCTTTTTCTCTCCTTTCCCTGCAGGAATCTCTCATTCTCCTCATCCCATTTTTCTTCCTTTCCCTGCAGGAATTTCTCCTTCTTCGTCACCCCTTTTCCAACCTTTCCCTGCAGGAATCTCTTCTTCACCCCATTTTCCCTTTTTCCCTGCAGGAATCTCTCCTTCTTCCTCATCCCTTTCCCCTGCAGGAAATCTCTCCTTTCCCTGCAGGAATCTTTTCTTCTTCCCCATTCCTTTCTCCCTCCTTTCCCTGCAGCAATCTCTCCTTATTCCTCACCCCTTTTCCCTGCAGGAATCTCTCCTTTTTCTTCATCTCTTTTCCCCTCCTTTCCTTGCAGGAATCTCTCCTTTCTTCTCTCCTTTCCCTGCAGGAATCACTCCTCCTTCCTCACCCTTTTTCCCTGCAGGAATCTCTCCTCCTTCCTCACCCTTTTTCTCTCTTTTCCCTGCAGGAACCTCTCCTTCTTTGCCACCCAGAGCAGCCCCTCTGCCGTCATCCTGGACCTGTGGGAGGCTCGGCACCAGCACGACGGGGACCTGGACTCGCTGGCCTGTGCCCTGGAGGAGATTGGCAGGACACACTCCAAGCCCCCCGAGGTGCCAGAGCCCGAGCTGGACGAGCCCGAGTTCCCCTGCAGCAGGAAGGGGCTTTAGTCCCTCTGTCCTGCCAGGACACACGGCCAGCAGGGGTTGTGGGGGTGGAACTCGCCCCCATCAGTGGCAACGGGAGGAGCAGCAGCTAAAAACCCTCTGGTGATGAGGAAAACCAGCTCCTCCCTGTCCTCCTCCACTTAAAATCTGCATTTTGGTGCCCCAAATGAGCCTGCACTTGTGTCAGCGCCGGGGCAGGAGGGAGAGAGACACAGAGCCATAAGAGGGAAATGTTATTCTGTATTTAGGAACAGTCATGTTCGTGTACTGCCTAGTGAAAAATCAACAAATAGCGTTGGATATTTCGAGCCACTGGAGGTTGGTCCTGGTTAAAAGGTTTCTCTAGTGAAAATCAACAAATAACATTGGATATTTCGAGCCACTGGAGGTTGGTCCTGGTTAAAAGGTTTCTCGCTTCGAGGGTGGTTTAAAAATCCCATCACGTTGTCACTTTATGTCTGCTACAGGAAAACTGAAAATTTGGCCTTATCCTGTTCAGATGTTTGAGGAATTAGAAGATCTCATAATTATTTCACATCGTGTGTATTCCAAATAATTTGTTTTAAAAATTCAGCCCCTTAATGAATGTACATTTGCTGCAGAGCTTTGCTGCCTGCTCTGTTACCAAAATTCCAGAACAAACCCCTTCATCTCTGAGACTGGGGGGTGTGTGCACACGCCAGAGGAATTTTCTAATTTTCTACGTCTGCAAACTTTCTTAGTCAAAAAACTGTCTTTGGGGGTGGATTTAAATAACCAAATAACACACGGGAAAATTTCCAGCCCTATTTTAGCAAGTTGAGACATTTATTTTTGTTACTTCATTCTCTGTGGCTGAGCTGAAGGTGAAGGCAGTCAGCACAGCTTCATTTTGGTTTGGTTTCAGATTGAAACCACAAACCCCACACAGCACTGCCAACTCTGGCCTAGATTTTGTTGCACAATTTGGGAATTTCACGGGGTCCAGAGCTGGCTGTGTTAACTTGGTTTAGTTACAAATTGCATTTACCCCAAAAATCAGGATCTAAGCAGAGAATTTGCCTTGCTTTTTACCCATTCCATGCAAAAATTATTTATGACTTCAACCAAACCAAAAAAGAGCTGTCACTGTGAGTGAGGGCCTGGTGGAGATGGGACTGAGCCAAGTGTCACCATTATTTTTGACCATTCTTTTCACTCTCATCCTTCACCATAGCCAAGGTGCTGGAGTCTGTGGGGCTGCCAGGGCACAATCAGGAGAAACAGGAACAGAAATGAGGCTTTGGGAGCTTTGTGGAAATGCAGGAAACCCAAACCAAGGGTTTGGGGGCTGTTTTAGCCTCGTGTTTGGCTGAGAGCAGGGCAATTCCTTCACCAAGGACTGCAGGGTGAAAATCTGAACAACAGCAACAATGAGATCAGCAACATCAGCTCTGTCCTTGCTTGTGCTGCCCTGAAATCACAAATGTCACTGCCTGCCCAGCTCAGGAATAGGCTGAGACATGGAAATCCTGAAACTTGGAAATCCTGAGACCAGTGCAAAGCTTTCCTGCAGCTCAGCATCTCCTGCAAGCCTGGCAGGAGGCTCCTGGCACAGGTTTCGGGGCAGACAGAAATACCGGCTGCAAGCTGTCACTGCTTTCAGCAGCACATGCTCCTCCAGTTCCATCCCCACTGACTGCCAGTCCTCCTCCACAAACCTGTTCTTGGTTGGACAAAATGTCAGGCATTAGAAAAAAAAAAAAAAAACAAAACAAGGGATGATGGCACCGGGGGAACAAGCAGAGTCTGCGAGCTGCCGTTGTCGGGGAAACCAGCCCGGCTCTGCCTGCAGCAGGGATTTGTTCTCAGTGCCCCAGAGCTGCTCTGTTCCTGAGCAGGCTGGGTTTGTGTGCCCCAGGTGCTGCAGGGTTAGACATTGAAGGGGAATCTTTGGGATCAGGTGCTCTGGGAAGTCTGAACCTCTCAAGTACCTCAGAAATGGGGAAAGTGTTAGAGCCCAAATGAGTGATGCGGGACTCCAGGCAGCTCTTCAAAATGCATACATATTGTATACAAAATGCACTTTATTGTATCCAAAATGCAGTTTACTGTATACAGAATGCCGTTTATTCCATCCAAGAGGTTACAGCAGTCCAGGGTTGTTGGTGACAGAGCTGTGCCCACAGCTGTCAGCTCCAGCTGCAGGCAGGCCTGGAGACCAACATCCCTCATTCAGGCTCTTACTGATGGCGCCCCACGTTGAGCGCCACTGTGAGAGCTGAAATGAGAGCTGTGGGACTCCAGGGACTCTTCAAAATGCAGTTTATTGCATCCAAAATGCAGTTTATTCTATCCAAAATTCAATTTATTCTATCCAAGATGCTACAGCAGTCCAGGGTCATGGGTGACAGAGCTGTGCCCACAGCTGTCAGCTCTAGCTGCACACAAGCCTGAAGACCGTTTCATTTTGGTTACAAATGCATTATACACTTTTCTTTCCTGAGCATCTTAATACCAATCTATAGTAGAACTAATCTATACCTTAACTGTTATCTACAGCCTATCATAACTACTGTAATTACCATATTCATGTTGCTGTTCTCCAATCACTAAAAGTCAGTACATTACACTTTAACTAGAAGTTTTTTTCAGTTTTCTTGCAGTGGAAAATTTTGAGATCATTTTCTACTTGCAAGATTTGCTGCCTTGTTTGCCTGTTCTGTCTTTCTGCTTGGTAAAAACATCTTCTTGTTTGGGGTGGGTTTATCCTTTGCTCTAAGCCATAAAAACTCTTTCTAACTAGCACACCCTTTGCCTCCTTGGTTATCCAGCAAGACTGGCTCAGAAATTCTTTTCTTCTATATCAAAACTTGCTTCCATCTCTATTCCTTCATCAGACTCTGCATTTAAAAATCTTTCTGCCAAGCACACATAGCTGTAAGACTTTCTTGTCAAACTCTTATCCTTCCCAACAGGAAAGAGAGAAGGGGAATGTTGCCGGGAAATTGGGATAAAAAGGAGCTGCATCCTCCTGCTCTGCTCCATCCTCCTGACAGCCCAGGGAGCCCCAGGATCTGTGTGGGCTCAGCCTCCACTGCCTTTCCTCAGGGTTCTGTCCACCCTGGAGCTCTGCAGACCCTCCCAGTGCAGGACCCCCCACTCAGAGGGACCCAGCTCTGCCCCAGAATCCCAGCCCACCCACAATCCCATGTCCTGAAAGGGAATAATTGTCCAAACTGGACAATTCCATAGGGAAGCTGTTCCCCCATTCAGGGCTCTGTTGGACGTTGCCCTTTAGCGTTTGTTCCCTGGTTTTTCTTCTTCCCTTTGATTAAAGGAATTCTTTGTTGCTGATCTCACTCTTTGAGAACCTGAATCAACAACTCTCCAGCTTTCCTTCCTATTCCTGACTGCTTTGATGCTCTTATGTTCTTCAAATGAACCAGAAATGCCCCAAATATTTATTTCCTTTCTCCCTTTCTCTTTAAAAGACCTTTTGGAAATCTGTGCACGTATTCATATGATTTGACCCAAAACACAGATGTGGAGGAGCACCTGGAAAAGGATTAGAGGCCAGAAATTAAAAATTCATTCCTTTCTTCTGTTGTATAAATTATGATAATTGAAAAACAATTTTCCCCGAACTAGAAAGTAAAAGAAGGAGAAATATGCATTTCCCCCCCCGTAGATTCCACGTGGCTGCCCTGGCTCTATTCAGGGGAAAGAGCCATTCTGATTTTACATCACCAAAGGATCTGCTTTAATAGATTTTCATTTTCCTGAGCACTTTGCCCAGGTATTTCTGTGCCATGACTCATTGCAGACTAATGGCTGCATTTTAAAAATGACTCCCAGCTCCGCCAGCACCATAAAGCTCATTTCCATCTCGTACCGCCCTGCACTCCCACAGAAATTTTATTGGGATTTTTGTAATAGATGAAGAGATATCAAACAATTCTCTTTAAAATCCAGCAAACTGCTTTTGTCCTTGTTTTTATCTCTGGCCACAGCTGCTCTCCCCCTCTCTGGCCTGGGCACTGCTGCCTTTCAGAGAATCTTATTCAGCATAAATCACTTTGCAGGGTCTGGGATATTCACATCACACTGCAAATCCATTCTTTTCCACCTGCAAGGCAGTGCTGTGAGAGTTTTAAAGCATTCAATAACTGATCAATTCCAATTTTTCACAAAAGGGAGACACAGCCCAGGTCCATGGTGAGTTAAACAAGGGAGGGACCAGGCTGGGCTTCTGGTCACCACCTGAATCGTCTTTTTTCAGGCTGTTTCTGCCTGCAAAACACAGATTGCAGCAAAGAGCTGTTCTTGGCTGGTAATTAACTGAGTGGAAAACAGGAAATGAGATTTGAAGTCCTTGACAACCAAGGACGGTCTCCAGGGTTGCCTCTTTGGCCTTTTCTTGGCTGATGCCCCCAGGGAATTCTGTCTCACCTGTGGCACAGCAGAAAGGGGGAACATCCCTCACCCAGAGCCTGCCCGTGGTTTCCCAGGGGCTGCTCATTCCTGGGATGAGCTCTGCCCAAATTCCTCCCTGGACGCTGCTCCTGATCCAACAGGGGCTGGGGTGTGAACAGCCCTCCCTGCCCAGCCCCAGGATTTTAGGGTGGAATTGGTGAAATTCCTCCCTGGACACTGCTCATGATCTAACAGGGGCTGGGGTGTGCACAGCCCTCCCTACCCAGCCCCAGGATTTTAGGGTGGAATTGGTGAAGTTTGGGGTGCCCTGCACCCAGTCTGGCCACAGCAGGAGGGAAAGTTTGGGGTTTTGCTCCCAAACTCTCCCAGCACCCACCAGCTCCTGGCTCTGGCAGAGTGGAACATCCAACCCCTGGAATCCCCATGCTGGAATTGGGAATGTTGACTCATGTAATTGGGAATATTGACCCATGGTTGGGATATCTCCTCAAGGAGTCCCTTCAGGTGTCCTTGGCTGGGATATCTCCTAAAGGAATCCCTTCAGGTGTCCATGGTTGGGATATCTCCTCAAGGAGCCCCTTCAGGCATCCCTGGCTGGGATATCTCTTCAAGGAACCCCTTCAGGTGTCCCATGGTCGGGATATCTATTCCAGGAATCTCTTCAGGTGTCCCTCCTTGATATCTCCTCAAGGAATCCCTTCAAGTGTATCTCCTCAAGGAAGCACTTTAGGTGTCCCATGGCTGGGATATCTCCTCAAGGAATCCCTTGCTTGGGATATCTCCTCAAGGAATCCCTTCAGGTGTCCATGGTTGGGATATCTCCTCAAGGAATCCCTTCAGGTGTCCATGGTTGGGATATCTCCTCCAGGAATCCCTCCAGATGTCCATGGTTGGGATATCTCCTCAAGGAATCCCTTCAGGTGTCCCTTGTTCAGGCACTGGAGGATGAGGAAGGAAACCCCAAACCCCAGCCCCAGATTTTTAGGTGAAGCTGTCGATTTTTCCATCCTTTCCCCCCTCATCCTCCACCCCAGCCCCCGTGCTGAGCCCCAGGGCTCCTGAGTGCCTCTCCCAGCTGGGCAGGGCACACACAAACCCCGGGCTCACAGACACAGCTTTGGGAACACAAACCCCATCCCCTCACCTGGCACTCCCCCATCCTGTTGTGACCCCGATATCCCAGCTGATAAACAGCTACAAAAATGTTAAATGTGCTCCTGTTGTTGGTTGGGATAAAACATGGTGCTGGTCAGTCTGGTGAGGCTCTGGGCAGTGTCACACAAGAAATAACAAAATTCCCAACTTGCATCCTCAACTTTAAGCCAGCTCTTAGGTGAAAACGGGAGGAGGAACTTCGACCCAGCCTGACACAAAATATAAATTATTCCTAAAAAGAGAAAAAACCAAACCCCACAAGTATTCCTCTAGAGAGACTTGTTTTCTCTTCTGCTCCTTCATTTTTGCAGTGAAGAGGTTGTGAAAAGGTTCTTGGCTGCTCTGCCTGAGCATCCCTCCCTGCCCCGGCGTGTTTGGGGTGAAGGAGGGCAGAGCCCTGAGCCCTTCTTAGGATGAAGCTGAAGGAGAAGGGAAGGGAGACAGAACGTGGAATCAAAAGCATGGCCTTGGCTTCATACCACACTTTCTGTGCCTTGTTCTATCAATGTAAATTCTGAATGTTGTACAGTGAAAATACTTGGGAGAGACTCCTTGGAAAAGGCTGCACTGGCTTCTTTTTTCAGCACATGTACATATATAAATATATATACATATATATATATATTTGGTAATGCCAACCAGCTGTGTTCTATTGTCCTGGAGAAGTCAAAGTGGACACTTTGGGTGTTTTCTGTGGAGTTTCAGAGCTGTGTGGCGCCGGCCTTTGGAGAGAGGTGTACAGATGGGAGTTATGGATATCAGCTATTTATGAATAAAGAGTCTTTTACTGACGCCTGACCCTGCTGTTCTTTCACTGCTGGGGTCAAACCAGGCCAGGCACTGGGGAGGGGGGCTCACATGGACCTCTGGGCGTGGCTTTTTGGTTTTAATAATTCCATTAATTATTTGAATGGAATTAATTCATTCACTTTATCATTCCTTGGCACAGACATCCCCAACCAGGGCCAGGTTGTGCCCACACTCAGGGACATCCCAGGATATTCCAGGGACATTCCAGGGGCACAGACATCCCCAGCCAGGGCCAGGCTGTGCCCAGGCTCAAGGACATCTCAGGATATCCCAGGATATTCCAGGAACATCTCAGGATATTCCAGGACATCCCAGGACATCCCAGGGACATTCCTTGGCATAGACTTGCCCAGCCAGGGCCAGGCTGTGCCCACACTCAGAGAAATCCTGGGATATTCCAGGATATTCCTTAGCACAGAGATCCCCAGCCAAGGCTGGCTGTGCCCACACTTGGGGACAACCCAGGATATTCCAGGATTTCCAGGACATCCCAGGATATTCCAGGGACATTCCTTGGCACAGACCTGCCCATCCAAGGCCGGGCAATGCCCCGTGTCCCCCTCGAGCCCCAGGGTGAGCAAGGTGCCAGCTCTGCCCCCTCTCAGCTCATTAAATCTCCCCACAAGGTGATTTTATTGCCAGCTGACAGAGCCGGGATTTACTGCCCCATTCCCCACCTGCCCTCTCGCCGCCGCCCGTTCCTTTGTATTTGTTAATGGCCTTTTCTCTTGTTATATAATCCTGTCAGCAGTGTAAAAATGTCTCTCAGGACTGCTCAGGGGTGTAAATCTCCCGGGCCCGGCGCTGACAGCGCTGAGTGGTGGTGGCAGGAGCCCTGGCCTGTCCTCCAGTAATTGTCACCACATGATAGGAAAGTGTAAGATTTAATAAGGTCATAAAGCAGAATGGCATCAGCCCGGCTGATGGGGTTTTTTTCATTAGCATTCAGAAGATCTGGGTTCCGTGGGACAATAAATCACAGCAGCTGAGCAGAAATGACCCATTTGATTATTCAAGACTTTCCAGGAATGTGGGGAGAGCAGCAGGGCCGGGGCAAAATTCCCACAGCAAAAAGAATTCTTCTGTTCTGCTCACCGAGCTGAGTTCAGCTCCAGGACCATGCCCTGGAGTGGGGACACAAGATCATTAGATATAGATATAGATAATATATTTTATTATATATATATATAAAAATATATATAATATATATATTATATATAATATATATTATATATAATATATATATTATATATATTTTATATATATATATATACATACACATATATAAATGCACCTGTTGCATTCCACAGCAGCAGATAACCATTGTTTACATTTTGTTCCTGAGGCCTCTCAGCTTCTCAGGAGGAAAAATCCTAAGGAAAGGATTTTCCATAAAAGATGTCTGTGACACCCAAGCATTTTCCCCTTGGAGCAGCCACAGCTCCCCTTTATTTGATCCCTCAAGCTCTGGGCAGGTGCTGAAGCCTCACCTGGAACACAACCTGACCTCAAAGCCCTTCCCAAACCCAAATCCAAGAATTCCCCTCGAGACCCAGCACTGAGAAGCACCCAAAGCACTGCTGGCACTCCTGAGAGCTGCTGGGACGTCTTGGGCTAAAAAAATCAGATTTTTAAAGGTGCTAATTAGCAGCTGAGCTCTTCTGAGAAATGCCAGCCCGCTTGTGGGTGACAAACCTGGCAGAGCAGGACGCTGCATCTCCCCAGCCCCACTTGGTGGATGTGCAGATAAATTCTCCCCCTCATTACCTGGAATGTTCGGGTTCCTGCTCAGAATCTTGCCCACGGCTAGCAATTATTTACTGCTCATTATCACGGGCTCCTGTCAGCTTCAGGGAGCTGGGACTGAGCAGGAAGCGAGGAGCAGAGATCCGGGCTGGTGGAAACACCAACAACATTAAAATGCAAGGCGAGAAAAAGTACCTTAAGCTCCGACTTGATTTACAAACTCGGCGAGGAGTGACAAGCGTTCCTGAAAGGATTTGTCACCATCAGACTCATTTAAGGGGCTGTGACAGCACTGAAACCTCTGCACTCCACGTTCCTGGGGAGAAAACTTCACCGTTTGGCTTCGCAGGGAGAGAAATGGCAGTTTTGTCTTTCCAAACAAGCTGTGGGTCTGCTGGGAGATAAAACCAGCACTGGGAGAGAAAAGAAATAATGGGAAGGATTCCACTGATTGATGAATGGAAAAAGAGATTTCCTTTTACAAATAAACTTTAGTTTTGCTGATAAATGAAATTAGACATTGAAAGATGAAAGAAACTATGGGGAAAAAAACCCTAAATTCTGTAAGAATTAAAAATTAAAAGGGAAAGTTATACATTAGAGGGAAATCTCTGAAATCAGGTGTACTGGGAAGTCTGAGCCTCTCAAGCACCGTGGAAATGAGGAAAACCCCCTAAATTCCATAAGAATTAAAAATTAAAAGGATGGGTTATACATTAGAGGGGAATCTTTGGGATCAGGTGTTCTGGGAAGTCTGAACCTCTCAAGTACCTCAGAAATGGTGAAAGAGAGAAAGGAAATGTGGCTGGAAATTGGGATAAAAGGGGAGGCTGCATCCTCCAAAAATCTGAGAGACCCCAGGGGATGCCCCATGGCCTCTGCCTTTATTGGAATAAAATCAAAGGACTCCTCTGTGTCCTTTTTGGACATAAACCTCTTGTGTTTGTGGATTAATTTTCCTGACAGCAGAAAGTCAATTAAAATCCTGACTGTGGGAAAGGTGCTGTGATTCCCTTCCCCACCCCTGCCCTTCACTGTTATTTCTGTTTCCTTCTCCCTGCTGTGGAGGGCACTGGGAGCTCTCTGCAAACACGGCACTCATTAAAGCCCAGCTCCAGAGTTTACAGAGATTACAGCAAAAGCTTTACACCCAAAAATGCTGCTCTTTATAAAGTGCATTTCCCCCTGACTCTCCTTGAAGGATGATTTACACCCCAGCTCATTTTCCTAAACAGCTGTCAGCTCCTTTAGGAAATATCCCAGACAAACAGAACCCGTTTTTTCCATGCTTTTTAAATCCCAGTAGCTGGGATTATTTTATTATTTATTATTTAATTCTATTTATTACAGCTAAAAAGAGGAAATGAGGCAGCAGAGGTCGTTACTGCGGACCCTGCTGGAGCAGGAGCTTCACCTCGGGCTGGCTGGAATTGAAATTTTGGGGCTGAATTAATAACAAGCCCAGCTGGGAAATGCTGCCTGTGCCCTGCAGGGCTGGAAACGTCTTCTGACATTAATAAAAAAAGGGAGGGGGTGCTGCCTGGGCAGAGCCGGGAACACATGGAATATAGAAAAACCATCCCTGAGCTCCTGACAGGCCAAGGGATGCTCCTGCTGGCTCTGACACCTTGCGGGAGGAATTTCACAGCTCCCTCCGTCCTTCCCAACACTTCCAGGATTTCTGTTATCTCTGACCAGGGAAATCAACTCATTATTCCCATTATTATCCCTAACAGCACTGGGAATGTTCTGGTGGGAAGTGGCGGGGGTCACAGAGGAGTTTAAAAACCAGGGGAAAGTAGAAATGAAGGGGTTTTCCTCCCTCCCCAGGACTGTGTTTGTGGGGAGCCTTCACTGGGCTGGGCTTGGGGAAAGGAGCACGAAAACCATCCTCAGCTCAGGAGTATCAAGACCCTCCATCCCCACCTCAGGAGTGCAAAAACCCATCCATCCTCACCTTGAGAGCACCAAAAATATCATCCCTGCCTCAGGAACAGCAAAAACATTCATCCCTGTCTCAGGAGCACCAAAAACATCCATTCCCACTTCAGGAACACCAAAAACACCCATCCATGCCTCAAGAGTGCCAAAAACCACCCATCCCTGCCTCGGGAACACCAAAACCATCCATCCCTGCCTCGGAACAGCAAAACCATCCAGCCCTGCGTTGAGAGCACTGAGGAGGAGCTGGGGGATCACAGGAGGAGCCAGGGCAGGGCAGGGGGAGCCTCCTCCAAGTGTGACTCCGAGCAGCTCCTCCTGCCCTGCCCTGGCTCCTCGGCGTTTTCTCTCCCCTCATCAGGGGTGAAAATATCCACTGCACAGGACCAGCTCAGCATTTTGCAGAGCAGTGAATTCAGCTGAGTGCACCCGGATAAATGGACAGGGCTTGGGTCACTGAGCGCCAAAGTCAGGCTGCTCACACCACAATTACCGTCATTAGCGTGCCCTTATGTCTTGGTTTGGAAAGACAGGAGTCTGCTAAGGAAGGCAGGAGCCTCCCCTGAAATGGAGAATGTAAACCCTCCCCACCCCTCCCAATTGCTATAAATTTTAAATTAAGGGGCTCTCAGGCAAATATGGGATCAGGAAATAACAGTTCTTTAATAGGGAAGAAAAAAAATAAAAGGATAAAATAAACAATGCAGTGCACTGGAACAACACTGACAGAGTCAGAACCCAACCTGACACCCTGTGGGTCAGGGTGTTGGCAGCAGTCCCATTGGAATTGTGGCTCTGCCCTCCTGCAGTGCCAGGGCTGGTTCTGCTGGAGCAGGGATCCTGTAGAGAAGGATGGATTCTTCCTCTGAAGATCCAGTGGAAGAAGAGGCAGCTGCTGTTCCTCTGGGGAATCCAGTGGAGAAGCCGTGCTGGTGTTTCAGAATCTCCAGATTATATCCATGTAGGAATGCTTGGCTCCTCCCTCTGGGCTCACATCTCCCAATGGGCTGCTGTAGTTCTTATCAGCCATGCAGGGACATTCAATGGCCTCTTATCAGCAGATCTCCCTTCCCTAGGGAGGTGTGATTGTGGTCACTCAAAGAGAGAGATAAGGCAAACTGCCCACTTGACAAAGGCAATCTGCCATACAGATGGTAATTGAAAACATCTTGCATTTCGATCTTCAACACCCTAATTGGTGTTCAGGGTTAGGAGGGAATAACAGCAAATTAATACCACAAAGGAAAGCCCTCCAAGCCACAAAAAAGGGCACAATCCTGTAAAATCTCAGTGGG